CTCTTGACCAGCGGGGCAACAGGGGCCACAGCTACAGGGGCAGCTTCAACGACGGTAAGGGAAGGGGCGGCCTTCACAACGGGGACAGGGCAGGGGCGGTTTAATACCATTCCCAAGTTTACACCTGGTTCAGGAATCTTCATAACAGCCGGAAGGTTCCACTGTGGACTGGCCACAGTTCCTGCCACCGTCTGATAAAGCTGCGGAGCCGCGGAGCATGTTGCTGCCAACAGAGATAAAACCTGTAAAAGAAAATAATAGATAAAAAGCATATCAGTTGCATCTAAAGGAAATCATACAGGCAGCACAGTATAAGATATCAAAATATTTGAACAAGAATAGCAACACATATAGCCATGACTTCTTTAAAGCACACATTCCATGAATATGCTCCATTTTGACAAAGCAATCCCGATGTTTACTAACAATGAGTTTCATTTTGTGTCGCTGGGGAGGTCGCGGACGGAGGTCTCTCTGGACTGGACGGAGGAGGTTTGGGAAGGTCGTCCGAGAATCCCGCCTTTTATACCCGCTCGTCTCGACCCGTGACCACGCCCTCCATAGCGCCAGATGCAGGACTTTTTTTCTCCAAAGGTTTGTCGTTTTGGTTTTAGTACGATTGTTATTTTTTTCTTGGGGGGGGGGGCTGTTAACATTATGATTGGCTGTCTGCATTTATTATGGTTTATGTATTTTTTCACTGTTCTTGTTCCACTGACATCTGTATTAATGTCATTAATCATTGTTATTACGATCATCATTACTATAAAGAAATATTGTTATCATTATTATTATCATTATTATTATTGTAATTATTATTGATATCTCTCTCATAATCATTGCTATTATTATCGTTATCATTACAACAATTCTCATTATGATGATAATAACAATAATTATCATTATCATTAATGTCAGTATTATCATTGCCATCATTATTATCATCGCTATTATCTTTATTTCTAAGATGAACATTTCAATATCATCATAATTATTATCATCACTGTAATCATCTTCATTATCCTTATCTCTATCATCTTCCTCTTACTTATCCTTCTGTTCCTCATCATCATCATTATAATTGTTATTGTTCTCAGGATTATAATAATGATCACTGCTGGTATTAGCATCCCTTCAAAGGATAATAACAGTTATTATCATCATTACTATTACTATTGTTGTTATCATTATTACATCATTATTACTATTATTATTATCATTATTATACATTATTATCATTATTATCATCATTACTATTGTTATTGATATTATTAGAATTATTATCATTATTATAGCATTATCATTACTATCATCATCATAGATGTCTTAGTGAAGTAAAATCTTAAAAAATCCGAAGAATGCATAAGTAGTATAACATGTACACTTTTACAGAGTGTTGTACCGACTCCGACAACAGCTAAAGCCTCTAGATCAGTGGCAGAGCATTTTTCAGCAGCTGTAAGTTTCCGGGAACAGCTGGGCACTACATGGAAGTTGCCAACTCTATACTTTTGCGCGAAATAAGAACTTCGAGAGATTCCAGATGTGTCAGTATGAAGTTCAACAACTCTGCAAAATTTGGCTGACTCAGTGCAAGGGCTATTGCTATTTATTTATTATTATTTTTTTTTTCTTTTCATTCAAATGATAGCCACAGTTTTCGTTATCTATTCTTTATAATTTCAAAGTAATTTGGTGATTTAGGCAGCTACAGAAGCATAGTAACACACAATTTCCCGTAGAATCCAATAGCGCATAAAATAACTAATTTGGATAAGGTGGTGTCAGCGATACATGCAAGGCCGGATGGTTACCTCTTTCGCACCTAGGCCCCGGTAGCTGCCCTCCCCCTTCAGCTGATGCAGGTGCTCACTTTACTTTCCCTCGTGACACTCTCCTAAGCAAGCAAAACGCCCTCATAAGAAACAGCTGCATAAAAGGACGTCTCGCCAGGCAGACCCGGACAGAACAGGAGGAGAGCAGAGAGAGCCAGAGACAGACGACGGTCTCGCTCGTCACCGCTCCGCCCTCGGCACCCAGGGCACGGGTCTCTCGCGGGGTCAGCATCTATCTCCCCCAATAAATCCTCCGGCAAAGAGCCCCTTTCATTCACCTGCTCTACGCCCCCAACCTCTTTACGTTGACAAGTGGGGAAGAACGGTCCATCGTCATTGGAAGAAAAGAGCATTTTCAAAGTGGATTCACCTTCATCATCGAGTAGTCTCGGTGGCAGAAGGAAGGATAAAAGCTCGATTTCTTTCCAATTTCTAATGGTAGATAGTCACATAAAATACCCTTTCTGTGTTGCAGGTCAGCGGCAGAATCACTGTGACTAGACACGATTTGATGCGCCCAACTCGAACCATTCCCACGTTAAAGTGAGCCAACTCCGCAGTTTCTTGTGCTGTCCGCAATCCGTCCTGGTGTGAGGCAAGGTACAAGGGCCTGTGATACCTTCAACTTTATTGTTCATGAAAAGCAATAAAAAACCTCTGAGAATGTGAATCAAAATGCAGGTAAAATAAGAGGAAAATTCAACATTTATTCTTGGTATTTTTTATTGGTATATAAAAGGGAAGTCTGAGATATATACAGGAAACGATATATACTGGTAGAGTAGGCCTACTCGGGAAGTGAGCTCATGTCAGTTCAGAATCAAACTAGCGTGACAACAGAATTTGCTGTCAACGACTTAACAGCTTGGTGGGCGCGGGCGTGGGCGGACTTGACCTGAGCCACGGCAGCGTGTCCTCGACGAGGTCAGAGGCGGCCACCCTGAAGCCAGAACCGGGGGGGCGGCGTACTTCCTCACCTGGACGTCCCCCTCGGGGTCCACGTAGGCGAAGCTGCCGGAGGTACGACCCAAAGAGTCCCTGGTCTCCACGCGGGTGTTGGGGCCGCCGTAGTGGCCGAAGGTGTACTGGCCGGCCTCGTCCTGGGCGTGGAATTGGCCTCCCACGTGAGGGACGCTGAGGGAGGCATGGGGGGTTCAGGGGCCATGAGGGGCTCAGGCGCTGCCACCACAGTGACGGGGACAGCGCTCTTGACCACAGGGGCGACTGCCACAGGGCAGCAGGAGCCACAATGGCTGCACTCTTGACCAGCGGGGCAACAGGGGCCACAGCTACAGGGGCAGCTTCAACGACGGTAAGGGAAGGGGCGGCCTTCACAACAGGGACAGGGACAGGGGCGGCCTTCACAACGGGGACAGGGGCAGGGGCGTTAATACCATTCCCAAGTTTACACCTGGTTCAGGAATCTTCATAACAGCCGGAAGGTTCCACTGTGGACTGGCCACAGTTCCTGCCACCGTCTGATAAAGCTGCGGAGCCGCGGAGCATGTTGCTGCCAACAGAGATAAAACCTGCAAAAGAAAATGTTAGATAAAAAGCATATCAGTTGCATCTAAAGGAAATCATACAGGCAGCACAGTATAAGATATCAAAATATTTGAACAAGAATAGCAACACATATATCCATGACACACATTCCATGAATATGCTCCATTTTGACAAAGCAATCCCGATGTTTACTAACAATGAGTTTCATTTTGTGTCGCTGGGGAGGTCGCGGACGGAGGTCTCTCTGGACTGGACGGAGGAGGTTTGGGAAGGTCCGAGAATCTCGCCTTTTATACCCGCTCGTCTCGACCCGTGACCACGCCCTCCATAGAGCCAGATGGAGGTTTTTTTCTCCAAAAGTTTGTCGTTTTGGTTTTAATATCATTTTAATAATTTTTCGTTGCTTTTATTCTGGCTGGTAACAATTATTGGTTATGAGCGTTTGTTCTGTTTTCTGTAATTTGTCAATGTTCTTGTTACGTACACTGTCACTACTATTATGATCCTTATTATTACGAAAATTATGTTCATTATTATTAGTAGTAGTATCATTATCATTATTTTTATTGTCACTATTATCATAGCTATTATCATTATTACCATCATTATTTTTTATTGTCATTATTACCATTGCTATTATTATTATTACCATCATTATTGTTATCATTATTATCATGATTCTCAGTACTATTATTATAATTATGATAATAATGATAATCATTATCATTATTATGGTTAGCATTATCATTACTATCATTGTTATCATCGTTATTATCTTCATTTCTATAATGGACATTTCATTATCATCATAATCCTTATTATTACTTAATTATCTTCGTTATCCTTATCTCTATCATCATCATACTTATCCTCCTGTTCCTCATCATCACTATCATTATAATTGTTATTGTTCTCACTGCTGGTATTAGCTGGTATTAACATTGATATCATCATTATTGTTACTATCGCTATTGTTATGGTGGTATTATGATATTATATCATAAATGCATTTATAAAATGGCATTACATGTTATTAGTATTAATGATAATGATAATGATTATAATTTTTATCATTATCATTAATACTAGTACAATCATTATTATTATTATTATCTATTATTATATTATTATCATCATCATCATCATTATCGTTATTATTATTATTACTATTCTTGTTTATTATCATTATCATTATTATCATCTTTATTACCATCAGCATATATAAGAAATAATAAAAAAAATCCCCCAAAAAATATAACACGTACAATTTTACAGCTGTACTGGAACAGCTGACTCCACACTCTATTCCCGTAGTTTCAGAAGGAATTTCATAAGATAAGCCATAAGGCAGCTTATCCCAGCACCCTCATAATATCGTCATTATTATTATTATTATTGCTGACATTAATGATAATATCATCATTATTATTATCATCAACATTATTATTTTTATCCTCATATTCAACACTGTTAATATTATTACTAACATTGCTTTTGTCACTATCACTTTCGTATTACATCGATATCATCATTATTATTAATTCTGGTAATCATCTTTTTTGTTAGCATTATCAAATTACTGTTATTTAAATCAAATTGCTTATCCCAGCACCCTCACGTTCCCCTTCTTCTTGACCTCCAACTTCAAGCAAAACTTACTTACTTCTGCAAGGTGGAACTTCGTGCAGTCGCTAGCATACCCTGATCTTCACAATTTTCACAACGATTCACAAAGTACTTCACGGATCTCGCCACCGGAAGTGCTATAACGTAGATCACAGATGGATAATGAAACGGGGACTTGTCTAGATCACGGAAGCGAAGTGGAAGTGATATAACGTCATCTTTTAAGCGTAGAGAGGACATGTATCCTTATATTTATGAATTCCTCACGCTCGGATCTTTTATGCATGAGTTTCTGGACATACTTTGATATATATACTTGCAGTCGAGGCTGTAATGATATTCACGAACGCTGTTCATTTTTTAGCATGATTATTGTGGTTATCATGATCATTATCATTGTTATCATTATTTCATTATTATTGTTATGATTATCATTATCATTATTCTTGTTTTCATTCGTGTTCTTGTCGTTATCATTTATTTATATTTTATTATTATCATTATTATCATTATTATTCATTATTATTATCATTATTATCATTATTATTATCATTGTTATCATTATTCCATTATCATCATTATTATTATTATTATTTATTGCTGAAATTAATAATAATATTCTTATTGTTATTATTATTATTGCTATTAATGATAATATTGTCGATCATCATCATCATCATCATTATTTGTTATCATCATTTTTATCATCATATTCAACACTATTGATATTATTACTAACATTACTATTACCACTATCACTTTCGTATTTACATCGATATCATCATTATTATTAATTCTGGTAATCATCTTTTTTGTTAGCATTATCAAATTATATTTAAATCAACTTGCTCGTCTTTAGTTTATTTATATTTATTATTTTCATATCACGTTTACCATCATCATTAACAATCACGATTTATCATAATTATTGCGTTTATAATTACCGGATTTGCTGTTATAATTTCCACCATCATCACAATCTTGAATATATCATCATATTTGTTATTTTTTGTTTTGATATCATCATTACTTGTTGATATATGTTTAGTATATCATTATTTTTGTTGATATGTGTTTAATGTATCAGTTTTAGTTTGGTATGTGTTTAGTATATTATCATTCTATCAATTAATATAATTTATAGAAAATACGTTTTGACTTTATTAAGGTATCGCCACACATACACCAACACACATTATTTATTCAATTTGTATTATCACCATTATCATTATTATTAATATCATATCAATATTTAGTATCATTATTTACCATTATTATTGACATTAGTATTTTACATCACTGTTATTGCAATTAGTATTCATCATTATTTGATATCAATATTATTTTCATTATTCATCTCATTTATTATTGGAATTTATTGTCATTATATAAATATTTCACTATTGCATATTATCATTATCATTATTATTGATATTATAATCATTTAGTATTGTTATTAGTAATTCGTTATTAATGTCGTTATTTTTATTATCAGTATTAATCAATTATTATTATCATTATTATCTTTTATCATTATTATTCATTACTGCTTCATTACTATCAATATCAATTCAATTTAGTATCAATATCATTATTATTTATATATTATAATTATTATTATTATTATCATTATTATTATTATTATTATTATGAGCATCAATATTAGTATTCAATATCCTTGTTATTTAATATTATCATTATTATTGCTATTTAGTATCATTAATATTATTATAAATAATTCATTATCATTCATTAATATTATCATAATTATCTTTATTATTTTTGCTATTAGCATCATTATGATTATTTATAAATATCATTATGATTATTTATAATATCTTAAGATTATTATAAATATCATTATGATTATTATAAATTCATTATATTTATTAGAAATATCATTTATTTTATAAATATCATTAATGATTATTATAAATATCATTATGGTTATTATTATTCATTATATTATTATATTATGATTATTATATATCATTATTATTATAATTATTCATTATGGTTTATTATGAATATCATTTATGATTTTATATATTCATTATGATTATTCATAAATATCATTATGGTTATTATGAATATCATTATGATTATTTATAAATATCAATATTATAAATATTCATATATTATGATTATTATTTATTATAAATTTTATCATTATTGCTATTTAGTATCATTATGATTATTATTAAATATCATTTATATCATAAATATCATTATCATTATATTATTATTATAATTATCATTATTATCCCTATCATGCTACCCATCCCAGCGAAACTATTTCAATGTCTCCCGAAGGCCGAGGTCGCAGACAAAAAAAAAAGAAAAAAGAAAAAAAAAGGAAAAAAAGAAAAAAGGAAAAAAAAGGAAAAAGAAAAAAAGAAAAAAAGAAAAAAAGAAAGAAAAAAGAAAAAGAAAAAAAAGAAAAAGAAGGAAGAAAAGAAAAAAATAAAAACTTCCCCCACGCGCCCCAGGGTAAGGTGCGGCCATGGGTCTTAGGGGGGGGAGGGGGAGGGAGAGGGAGGGGAAGGGGGGAGGGGGGACGCTCCTGAAGACGCCCACCCCGGCAACACAGCATCTCCGCGGGTGAATCCCGGCCACGCCGCGCTCGTCCGTGTGGGCGCCTCGACGATCTTCATAGCTGTCCTTTTTTATATTATATATATGTATGTTTTTTTTTTTTTTTTTTTTTTTTTTTTTCTTGTCGTGGATTTTTGGGCAGGTGAGGATTTCGGCGGTTCTTGTTTTTTTTTTTTTTTTCTTTGTTGGTCTTATTTCTTCTTTGTTCCTTGCGTTTTTTTCCTTGTCTTTTCTTATTTTGTTCTTGTTTTTTTCTTGTCTTTCTTCTTTGTTCCTGCGTTTTTTTTGTCTTCTTCTTTGTTTCCTGTCTTTTTTTCTTTGTTCCTTGCGTTTTTTTTACGTTTTCTTCTGTTGTTTTTTGCTTTTTGTTCTTACTTTTTCTTCTGATGTTCTGCGTTTTTTTTTTTTATTCTTTGTTTCTTACCTTTTTTTTTTGTTCTTACGTTTTCTTCTATTGTTTTTGCTTTTTCTTTTTTTATTCTTGCGTTTTTCTTCTTTGTTCTAACGTTTTTTTTTCTTGCTGTTGTTTTTGCTTTTTCTTCTGTTTTTCTTACGTTTTCTTCTGTCGTTGTTTTATCGTTTTCTTTTTTATTTTTTTTACGTTTTCTACTTTTGTTTTTGCCTTTTCTTCACATTTTTACTTATTTTTTATGGTTTACTTTTATTAAAGTTCCGAGCTCGTTTTGACCATCAGCCTTTTCCCTTTTTTTAATATATAACAATAGCTAAAAAATTTTGAAGAAGTTTTTTTTTTTCTAAATCAAAAATATAATTCATATACATACAAATAAATCCCCAAAAAGTTATTCACATTGGCCATAAATATTCTTCTTTATATATTTTAAAAAATCTTTTACTTAATTCCGATATTTCTCTTTTTATCTTTTTTTTTTTTAATTCCTGTTTTAAAAGTTTCCTCCTGGCCATAAATACTTCTTCTTTTTATCTTTTTTTTAACTTTACTTAAATTCTGTTTTTTTCTTCTTTTTTTATTTTCTTTTTATTCCTTTTTCCTCTTTTTCTCTTTTTCTCCTTTTTTCTTTCCTTTTCTCCTTTTAAATTTCTTTTTTAATTCTTTTACATTATTTCCTTCTTTTTTTTTTTTTTTTTTTTTTTTTTTTTTTTTTTTTTTTTTCCCCTTTTTTTTTTTTTTCCTTTTTTATTTTTTATCCTTTTTACCCCTTATTCCTCCTTTTCCTC